TGTGTGTGTGTGTGTGTGTGTGTGTGTTGGGCAAGGCTTTACAGATCACTTTTCACAGCAGATTCATTTTATGTTTACAGAACAGCCACACCGGAGCATTTAGCAATCCAATCTACGTGCCAAAAACATGAGCGTTTTTTTTTTAACGCACAACAGTAAAAGAACTTGATCCCTGGAATTAGCAGTCCGGCAGAAACAAGTCTGTGCCGCAAACACAAGACTCCTAAATTTAGCGAGGTGGGTTATAAAAGCAGATCCTGCCGTGGCTCAACTGTTGCTCGACTCTTTAATAAACATTTATTTAGATAAACAAGATCATCTTTACATTTCGGTGTCAGGTTACTGTGCTTTATTTTGATCTTTTTGTGCAACGCATTTGTCAAAACATCCCTTCAGCAATTCAATTTTTTGCTGTCACATTAAAAAGAAAACATGACTTCATGTTCAAAAGTTCCTCATGAGACATTTTTATGAGCGATTCACTGATTACCAGGTTTTTTTTCACAGCCAAGGGCAAGAACAAGGAGGGAGAGAGTGAAAACGGAGGGAGAAGGCAAACAAAAACAAAGGGCTGAGGGAAGACGGAGTTTGAACAGATCCAAGGATTACCTGAGGTAGAGCTGAGAGTCGGCTGACAGAATGGATCTGATCTTTATCAGGGTGTTCAGGCTGCACCATGCRTTGGCCACCTTGTCCTAGAAAACACACAACGCCATTGTGATCACACAAATTCAACAGGTCAAATTTACGCCGTTAAAAACACCCGATGTACAGAATTTGCTCTAAACAGATTTGTGGTAAACTTTCCTTTAGGATCGTAGATGAGAAATTTCAGAAATATCTAAGCTACATGTGCTTTTTGCGCTCGTTGAATTTGCACAATTACGATGGCATTTTTATAGCAACCTCAGCTTTTACCTGGTTGACCTGTGACCCAGAAGAGCTAGGCTTCACTGTGCGCATTTGTGATACATTTCTAACTACGAAATGGTCTATTGTGCTGACCCAACAGAATGAAACTAGATACTGTATAGCCGTAACATAATGACCCCCGCATGTAGAAATGCACCAGAACTCAGAAGTCTTTATTCC